TCCTGGGTTTCTGGCGACTTTTGGTACTTCGAAAGTTTGCGGACTTCTTGCCAGTAGTTTTTACCCTTGCTTCTGTTGATTTTATCACAGGCCTCAATGTATTTTTCACTTCTGAATTGCTGCACTAGCTTTTGGATATTTTTATTAAGCTCATTGAACATTCTTTTCAGAGCAGGCTCCTCATAGGATCTAAAATCGCGGTAGAGTCGTCTCTTTTCCTTAATCAACCGGAGAATAAATGGCAGAAGAAAATTGTAATGTTTCTTGATGTTGGAAGGGCTCGCTTCATCCACCAAATTAAGCAAGCGTTTATTAAAGGTTGCGATAGACTCGGGTGTGATAACAGGGTTAGATCTCACATATTCCTTTATTCCTGCGTTCACTCTTTCCATATTACAAAGTTTATACTTTTTGATCAGAGTAGGAGCTACTTTAGGTATTCGAGTGGTTGTATTAATCCAGATCACAAGACCCAGATGGTCAGAGCACAGATCAGGAATAACATTAACAGACGTGATGAGCGGTCTTATGTTGTTTGTGCAGAAGATTAAATCAGGCTTGGAGTTGGGATAATCTTTATTTTCCTTATAAAGTGAGAAAATGTATCGTTGTGTTTAAACATTTTTATCTCAAGACCAAAAAAAAAACATTTTCAAAAACGGTTTGCTCCATGAACAAGGTGACGCTTTCTTCATTAATTACTGAAAATTGCATAACGATGTCTTTAAAAATAGATTTTTTATGATTTTTTGAAATCGATTCGACAATTAACTTAAAAATAAGAAAGCGATGACACAAAAAATTTAATATCTCAAGAAGTAAAAAGTATTTTCAAAAATAGTCTTTTTCATTAAAAAGTTTCTAGTTTTCTTTATAGGTGGTGATAATTTCATAACGATTCATTGAAACCCCGATTTTATACGATTTTTCAAATCAAGTCGAAAATCTTCCTTTTCCCTACAAAGTGTGAAAATGTATCTTTGTGTTTAAAAATGTTTATCTCAAGAATGAAAAAACATTTTCAAAAACGGTTTTGTTCATTGACAAGGTAACTCCTTCTTCTATAATTAGTGAAAATTTCATAATGATATCTTTAAAAATAGATTTTTTATGATTTTTTGAAATCGATTCGACAATTAACTTAAAAATAAGAAAGCGATGACACAAAAAATTGAATATCTCAAGAAGTAAAAAGTATTTTCAAAAACGGTCACTTTCATTAAAAGGATTATAGTTTTCTTTCTAAATGGTGATAATTTCATAACGATTCATTAAAATCCCGATTTTATATGATTTTTTAAATCAAATCGAAAATTTTTATTTTCTCTACAAAGTGTGAAAATGTATCGTTGTGTTTAAACATTTTTATCTCAAGAACTAAAAAACATTTTTAATAACGGTTTTATTTATGAAAAAATACACATTTTCTTCTATAAATCAAAAAACATTTCATTAAGATATCTTAAAAATGCGATTTTTCAAGGTTTTTTTAGAATGATTAAGTAAGTTGTTAATTGTGTAAAGTTGTCTAAAAATAAAAAAACTGATCTCCGAAATTAATTAAGATATCGTAATGAGATATAAAGCATTTTAATCTAGATTTAATGCTCATTAGCGCATTTCTTATTTCCTGTAATCATGCTAGTTATAAAATTTTTAATCAACCCTGTTTTGAGTCAATATAATTTAAATAGGGTTTAAATAAAAAATCATATCTCCGAAAATAATTGAGATATTGCAATGAGATTGGAAGCATTTTAAAGCAAATTTAATCTAGTTTTAGTGTGCCCATAATTANTACGTTGCTGGCTTTGAACGATGCTTGTTTTCTTTATAGGTGGTGATAATTTCATAACGATTCATTGAAACCCCGATTTTATACGATTTTTCAAATCAAGTCGAAAATCTTCCTTTTCCCTACAAAGTGTGAAAATGTATCTTTGTGTTTAAAAATTTTTATCTCAAGAATGAAAAAACATTTTCAAAAATGGTTTTCTTCATTGACAAGGTGACTCCTTCTTCTATAATTACTGGAAATTTCATAATGATATCTTTAAAAATCGATTTTTTATGATTTTTTGAAATCGATTCGACAATTAACTTAAAAATAAGAAAGCGATGACACAAAAAATTTAATGTCTCAAGAAGTAAAAAGTATTTTCAAAAACGATCTCTTTCATTAAAAGGATTATAGTTTTCTTTTTAAATGGTGATAATTTCATAACAATTCATTAAAATCCCGATTTTATATGATTTTTTAAATCAAATCGAAAATTTTTATTTTCTCTACAAAGTGTGAAAATGTATCGTTGTGTTTAAAACATTTTTATCTCAAGAACTAAAAAACATTTTTAATAACGGTTTTATTTATGAAAAATACACATTTTCTTCTATAAATCAAAAAACACTTCATTAAGATATCTTAAAAATGCGAAAATTTTTCGCGGTTCTTTTTAAATGATTAAATACGGTGTAAATAAAAAATCATATCTCCGAAAATAATTGAGATATTGCAATGAGATTGGAAGCATTTTAAAGCAAATTTAATCTAGTTTTAGTGTGCCCATAATTATTTTTTCGATTTTATTAGTTTCGTTGTTATGATGGTTTAAACATAATTTGCGCGTATAAAAGTAATTTTAATAAAATCGAAAATTATAAAATTTCAAAAAATCCTATCTCAAAAAGTAATTGAGATATCGGTACGAAATAACACACGTTTCAAAGCTAATTTATTCTAGATTTAATGCTCATTAGCGCATTTCTTATTTCCTGTAATCATGGTAGTTATAAAATTCTTAATCAACCCTGTTTTGAGTCATTATAATTTAAATAGGGTGTAAATAAAAAATCATATCTCCGAAAATAATTGAGATATTGCAATGTCATTGGAAGCATTTTAAAGCAAATTTAATCTAGTTTTAGTGTGTCCATAATTATTTTTTCGATTTTATTAGTTTCGTTGTTATGATGGTTTAAACATAATTTGCGCGTATAATAGTAATTTTAATAAAATCGAATATTATGAAAGTTCAAAAAATCCTATCTCAAAAAGTAATTGAGATATCGGTACGAAATAAAACACGTTTCAAAGCTAATTTATTCTAGATTTAATACTCATTGGCTTATTTCTTATTTCCTGTAATCATGGTAGTTATAAAATTTTTAATCAACCCTGTTTTGAGTCAATATAATTTAAATAGGGTGTAAATAGAAAATCATATCTCCGAAAATAATTGAGATATTGCAATGAGATTGGAAGCATTTTAAAGCAAATTTAATCTAGTTTTAGTGTGCCCATAATTAATTTTTCGATTTTATTAGTTTCGTTGTTATCATGGTTTAAACACAATTTGCGCGTATAAAACTAATTTCAATAAAATCGAAAATTACAAAAGTTCAAAAAATCCTATCTCAAAAAGTAATTGAGATATCGCCACGAAATAAAAAGCGTTTCAAAGCTAATTTATTCTAAATTTAATGCTCTCTGATGTATTTCTTAATTCTCGTAAACATCGTAGTTATGAACGAATTAGTTGATTACGAATTCAATCAAGAAATTCTCCGAGCTTCTATTCTCGTTATATCACGTTGTAAGTTTACCAAACAAAAACCCCACCTGATCATACACACACTCGCATAGTTACGCTCAAGATGAACCGCACACCGACCGTAATAATTCATATTTATAGATAGAACGAACTCGGTAACCTTCCCAACCCGGAAATGATATCATAAAACTATAACATTTGTAAACAATAAAAGAAAAAAAACTTTTTGAGTGAACCTTGTAATCACGACTTTTAATATGTTTAAGTATATACAGGGTGTGGTCAAAAATTTCGGATTTATTAAGGATGCACATGCATCGTAATGAGAATCAGATTAGTTTGAACAGGAAGCCGGGTTATTTGTATTTTCTGGTTGCTGTTCGTTACAAGACGGACACGTGGTCGGAACGTGGTGCAACATCAACGTCATAAAGCCTCTGTTTTATCCAGACAAACATCGGGTGCCCCAACGGTGACAGTTATATATAAAAATAATTTTTTAAATATCTCTTCTTCTTGTACTATATTAATAATTATTTTGTTATAATTTTAAAAAATTTTGATGAGTGTGGGTTGGAAAAGAACCGATTCGGGTGGATATGAGTGCTTTTTGGAATATGGTAAGTTTATATTTTTTATTTTGTTTAGATTAGCTTCTCCCTAATCTAATATATACATATTATGTGTATACATCAAGGAAAAAGGAGTAATCCCCTCTACTTTTTAAAAATGTAAAAGTACAATACGACCTAAATTTTATATATAAACCGTTTTTATGGGGTCGAAACCGTTTGATGAATTTAAAGCGAACAACGATCGATTATTTTTAAAACCGCGACGTTTATAGCGATTTTGTTCTTGTGATGTTGCGTTTTTTTCGGGTTATTTCTGTTTTGGTCATGGACGGGGTAATTAGAACGCGAATAAAAGATGATGCGTGCGGGGAATATTTCGGAAATGTGTTCACGGTCGGTTAAAAACTTTAAATCGAGCGATCGAGATGAAAATTTAAATTTAAACCTTCAAATTTAATAAAATCATTCAAGAAAATTATTAATTTTATCATAAAATGTTACGCATAATATTTGTTTTAAATGTGATTTAAAAACGATTATTTTAATAAAAGTTTTTGATATCTCTACCAGGTGGCGCTTTATACTGGTATATAAATTTATGTTTTTGAGGTTATCTCAATCAATATTAATCGTATTATTTTTTTTTATAAGAAATGTTTGTTTAAAATTGTATTATAAATGTCTTTTCTTAANAACGTAATTTGTTCAGACAGGCATTAATCTTATTTATGGTTTTTCTTATGAAAATCACAATTAATTGATGTTATTTAGTTAGTACTAGATCCTAGTAAGTGCACAACTTCCATAGCCACCTATAAAGAAAAATTTTTTTTAATAATAGCAGCGCTTTACAGTACAATGTAGCATATTTTATTTTTTTACGTTAAAACTATTATTTTTAAGGAAAAAACTAAAGAGAGAAAAAAGTACTAGTAATGAATAAGCTTTACAACCCATATTTTTCTTTGTTAATATTCCATGGCGTTAAGAAGTTGTTATAAAAAAATCAAAGGGGCTGTGAATTTCATCTCCTTAGAGGGCGCTAGGGAAGTTTAAGGTATGGTTGAAAATAAGATATTAACCAGTAGTACATACATACAAAATTTCAAATTCTATGGTTTACTCATACCCGAAATAAAAGATAAAATGTAAATTTTTGGCTCAACTTTGACAGCTCATAGCTTGAAAACAAAAGAGGTTGCGATCTCATGTTTATATAAAAAATTTGTGTTATTTCGGCAAGTACTACATCCTAGTAAAATATCCCGATTAAAAACTGAACCACCCTGTATATATATTTTAATATTTTTGAGATTACCCTAATAATTATTGATCGAATCGATTTTTTTTATAAACAATTGTTGTTTAGAATTAAATTAGAAACAACGTTCCTTAATGACATTTTTTAAAATGACGAAGTTTTAATTTCCCACTGAACAGTATGGTGGTATAACATTTCCAAGTGTAAATTTAGCTAAATCTAATCTTTTTAATTTGTTTTAGTAGCTTTAATAAAAGAGAATTCAAAAACAATAAATTAAAAATCAACAAAAAAACGACAACATTAACAAGAATAATAAAAAAAGTACATAAAATAATAAGACAAGTAATAAAACATAGTAAAGGAATTGTTCAAAAACTTAGATTTAAAAATTCTGAAAATTCAATTCCAACTGCAATTTGAGGACAGCTACTAATTTTATGTACATGAATCGTCATCATTTTTATTCTAGTATATGTGGTTAAATTTGTTTCCCGAGTCACCGAAACACCCTGTATGTATGTTGGTATATTAAATCAATTTTAAAGCAAATTATAGCTTTTATCAAAAAATGTTTCATATAATATTTGTTTATAATGTAATTTAAAATCGATTATCTTAATAAATGTTTCTGATATCTCTACCAGGTGGCGCTTTATACTGTTATATATATTAATATTTTTGAGATTATTCTAATAATTATTGATTGTATCGAATTCTTTTATAAACAATATTTATTGAGAATTAGATTACAAACAACTTTTATTAATACCATTTTCGGATAAAACGAAATTTTAATTTCCCTCTGAACAGTACGTTTTTGTAATAAATCAATTTTAAAACAAATTATAGTTTTTATCAAAAAATGTTTCATATAATATTTGTTTATAATGTAATTTAAAATCGATTATCTTAATAAATATTTCTGATATCTCTACCAGGTGGCGCTTTATACCGTTATGTATACTAATATTTTTGAGATTATCGTAATAATTATTGATCGTATCAAATTGTTTTATAAACAATATTTATTAAGAATTAGATTACAAACAACTTTTATTAATTCCATTTTATGATAAAACTCAATTTTAATTTCCCTCTGAACAGTATGTTACGAATTATTGTTTTTATCGAAAAATGTTTCGCATATAATTTGTTTAAAATATAATTTAAATCCGACTTATGTTAATTCACATATCTTATTAATCGATCGGCTAAAAAGCGTGCGGGATAATACGAAGCATATAATAACGTAAACATTAAAGCACGATAAATTTAAAATTATGAACCACGGTATACTAAAATTCTTGAAATATTTAGATCAACTCCTTTTTTATATACAAAGCAAAAACCAGCGAGAGGTAGTGGTGGGGAGTCATTCTCGGAAAATTGTTTGATTTTTCTCGGAAAACGCCTATTTAACGTTACTCTCTTCATAAAAGTGGAAGCTACGTTTTAATTAGAGTGTTTTCATTTAATTCGTTTTTATTGGTTTTCATTTTATAGAAGAACCCAGCACAATGGGATGCGTGGAATTGGCTGCGACGATCGGGTCGATTGTTATTTTGGTTTTGACGTTACCATTTTCATTGTTTTGGTGTTTTAAGGTAACTTTTTTTTTTATTAATATATTTAAGAAAATAATTATTTTAATGAAAGGTTGTTCAAGAATATGAGAGAGCAGTAATTTTTCGTCTTGGACGACTTCGAACTGGAGGAGCTCGGGGTCCGGGAATTTTTTTCATTCTTCCTTGCGTCGATAGTTATTGTAAAGTCGATTTAAGAACAGTCAGTTTTGATGTTCCACCTCAAGAAGTAAGCTAATTTATATTTTAAATCAAATTATTTTTTTATCCAAAAATGTTTCCTATAATATTTGTTTATAATTTAATTTAAAATCGATTATTTTAATAAGAATTTTTAATATCTCCACCAGAGGGCTCTGTGTACTAGTATAAAAGTCAATATTTTTGTGATTATCTCAATAATTATTGATCGTATCGAATTATTTTATACACAATACCTGTTAAGAATTAGATTACGCACAACTTTTATTAATAACATTTTTTTAAATAACACAGTTTTAATTTCCCACTGAACAGTACGGTGCGTTAATTTCGCGATAAATCAGGCATTTTTATCAAAAAATGTTTCATACAAAATCTATTTAGAATTTAATTTAAAATCGATTATTTTAATAAGAATTTTTGATATCTCCACCAGGGGGCTCTGTATACTAGTATAAAAGTCAATATTTTTGTGATTATCTCAATAATTATTGATCGTGTCGAATTATTTTATAAAAAATATTTGTTGAGAATTAGATTACGCACAACTTTTATTAATAACATTTTTTAAAATAACACAGTTTTAATTTCCCACTGAACAGTACGGTGCGTTAATTTCGCGATAAATCAGGCATTTTTATCAAAAAATGTTTCATACAAAATCTATTTAGAATTTAATTTAAAATCGATTATTTTAATAAGAATTTTTGATATCTCCACCAGGGGGCTCTGTATACTAGTATAAAAGTCAATATTTTTGTGATTATCTCAATAATTATTGATCGTGTCGAATTATTTTATAAAAAATATTTGTTGAGAATTAGATTACGCACAACTTTTATTAATAACATTTTTTAAAATAACACAGTTTTAATTTCCCACTGAACAGTACGGTGCGTTAATTTCGCGATAAATCAGGCATTTTTATCAAAAAATGTTTCATACAAAATCTATTTAGAATTTAATTTAAAATCGATTATTTTAATAAGAATTTTTGATATCTCCACCAGGGGGCTCTGTATACTAGTATAAAAGTCAATATTTTTGTGATTATCTCAATAATTATTGATCGTGTCGAATTATTTTATAAAAAATATTTGTTGAGAATTAGATTACGCACAACTTTTATTAATAACATTTTTTAAAATAACACAGTTTTAATTTCCCACTGAACAGTACGGTGCGTTAATTTCGCGATAAATCAGGCATTTTTATCAAAAAATGTTTCATACAAAATCTATTTAGAATTTAATTTAAAATCGATTATTTTAATAAGAATTTTTGATATCTCCACCAGGGGGCTCTGTATACTAGTATAAAAGTCAATATTTTTGTGATTATCTCAATAATTATTGATCGTGTCGAATTATTTTATAAAAAATATTTATTGAGAATTAGATTACGCACAACTTTTATTAATGACATTTTTTAAAATAACACAGTTTTAATTTCCCACTGAATAGTACGGTGCGTTAATTCCGCGATAAATCAGGCATTTTTATTCAAAAATGTTTCATACAAAATCTATTTAGAATTTAATTTAAAATCGATTATTTTAATAAGAATTTTTGATATCTCCACCAGGGGGCTCTGTATAACACAATATTGGTTGAGAATTCGATTACGCACAACTTTTATTAATAACATTTTTTGATATAACACAGTTTTAATTTCCCACTGAACAGTACGGTGCATTAATTTCGCGATAAATAAGGCAATTTTATCAAAACATGTTTCATACAAAATCTATTTAGAATTTAATTTAAAATCGATTATTTTAATAAGAATTTTTGATATCCCCACCAGGGGGCTCTGTATACTAGTATAAAAGTCAATATTTTAGAGATTATCTCAATAATTATTGATCGTATCGAATTATTTTATACACAATATTTGTTGAGAATTAGATTACGCACAACTTTTATTAATAACATTTTTTAAAATAACACAGTTTTAATTTCCCACTGAACAGTACGGTGCGTTAATTTCGCGATAAATCAGGCATTTTTATCAAAAAATGTTTCATACAAAATCTATTTAGAATTTAATTTAAAATCGATTATTTTAATAAGAATTTTTGATATCTCCACCAGGGGGCTCTGTGTACTAGTATAAAAGTCAATATTTTAGAGATTATCTCAATAATTATTGATCGTATCGAATTATTTTATACACAATACTTGTTGAGAATTCGATTAAGCACAACTTTTATTAAAAACATTTTTTAAAATAACACAGTTTTAATTTCCCACTGAACAGTACGGTGCGTTAATTTCGAGATAATTCAGGCATTTTTATCAAAAAATGTTTCATACAAAATCTATTTAGAATTTAATTTAAAATCGATTATTTTAATAAGAATTTTTAATATCTCCACCAGGGGGCTCTGTATACTAGTATAAAAGTCAATATTTTAGAGATTATCTCAATAATTATTGATCGTATCGAATTATTTTATACACAATACTTGTTGAGAATTAGATTACGCACAACTTTTATTAATAACATTTTTTAAAATAACACAGTTTTAATTTCCCACTGAACAGTACGGTGCGTTAATTTCGCGATAAATCAGGCATTTTTATCAAAAAATGTTTCATACAAAATCTATTTAGAATTTAATTTAAAATCGATTATTTTAATAAGAATTTTTGATATCTCCACCAGGGGGCTCTGTATACTAGTATAAAAGTCAATATTTTAGAGATTATCTCAATAATTATTGATCGTATCGAATTATTTTATACACAATACTTGTTGAGAATTAGATTACGCACAACTTTTATTAATAACATTTTTTAAAATAACACAGTTTTAATTTCCCACTGAACAGTACGGTGCGTTAATTTCGCGATAAATCAGGCATTTTTATCAAAAAATGTTTCATACAAAATCTATTTAGAATTTAATTTAAAATCGATTATTTTAATAAGAATTTTTGATATCTCCACCAGGGGGCTCTGTATACTAGTATAAAAGTCAATATTTTAGAGATTATCTCAATAATTATTGATCGTATCGAATTATTTTATACACAATACTTGTTGAGAATTAGATTACGCACAACTTTTATTAATAACATTTTTTAAAATAACACAGTTTTAATTTCCCACTGAACAGTACGGTGCGTTAATTTCGCGATAAATCAGGCATTTTTATCAAAAAATGTTTCATACAAAATCTATTTAGAATTTAATTTAAAATCGATTATTTTAATAAGAATTTTTGATATCTCCACCAGGGGGCTCTGTATACTAGTATAAAAGTCAATATTTTAGAGATTATCTCAATAATTATTGATCGTATCGAATTATTTTATACACAATACTTGTTGAGAATTAGATTACGCACAACTTTTATTAATAACATTTTTTAAAATAACACAGTTTTAATTTCCCACTGAACAGTACGGTGCGTTAATTTCGCGATAAATCAGGCATTTTTATCAAAAAATGTTTCATACAAAATCTATTTAGAATTTAATTTAAAATCGATTATTTTAATAAGAATTTTTGATATCTCCACCAGGGGGCTCTGTATACTAGTATAAAAGTCAATATTTTAGAGATTATCTCAATAATTATTGATCGTATCGAATTATTTTATACACAATACTTGTTGAGAATTAGATTACGCACAACTTTTATTAATAACATTTTTTAAAATAACACAGTTTTAATTTCCCACTGAACAGTACGGTGCGTTAATTTCGCGATAAATCAGGCATTTTTATCAAAAAATGTTTCATACAAAATCTATTTAGAATTTAATTTAAAATCGATTATTTTAATAAGAATTTTTGATATCTCCACCAGGGGGCTCTGTATACTAGTATAAAAGTCAATATTTTAGAGATTATCTCAATAATTATTGATCGTATCGAATTATTTTATACACAATACTTGTTGAGAATTAGATTACGCACAACTTTTATTAATAACATTTTTTAAAATAACACAGTTTTAATTTCCCACTGAACAGTACGGTGCGTTAATTTCGCGATAAATCAGGCATTTTTATCAAAAAATGTTTCATACAAAATCTATTTAGAATTTAATTTAAAATCGATTATTTTAATAAGAATTTTTGATATCTCCACCAGGGGGCTCTGTATACTAGTATAAAAGTCAATATTTTAGAGATTATCTCAATAATTATTGATCGTATCGAATTATTTTATACACAATACTTGTTGAGAATTAGATTACGCACAACTTTTATTAATAACATTTTTTAAAATAACACAGTTTTAATTTCCCACTGAACAGTACGGTGCGTTAATTTCGCGATAAATCAGGCATTTTTATCAAAAAATGTTTCATACAAAATCTATTTAGAATTTAATTTAAAATCGATTATTTTAATAAGAATTTTTGATATCTCCACCAGGGGGCTCTGTATACTAGTATAAAAGTCAATATTTTTGTGATTATCTCAACAATTATTGATCGTATCGAATTATTTTATAAACAATACTTGTTGAGAATTCGATTACGCACAACTTTTATTAATAACATTTTTTAAAATGGCACAGTTTTAATTTCCCACTGAATAGTACGGTGCGTTAATTTCGCGATAAATCAGGCATTTTTATCAAAAAATGTTTCCTACAAAATCAATTTAGAATTTAATTTAAAATCGATTATTTTAATAAGAATTTTTGATATCTCTACCAGGGGGCTCTGTATACTAGTATAAAAGTCAATATTTTTGTGATTATCTCAATAATTATTGATCGT